AGTGGGAAAGAAGGGAAGATTGAAGAGTATCGAGAAAATTCAAGAAGTCCAACTCTTTCATGGGCTAGGATTTGAGTAAAACATAAAAGCTCTCACATTGTCCCTCAATATAGACTACTGTCACTAGGGTCTAGGCCTGCCAAGTAGTAATGATAATAATGGCCCCAGTGCTACAGAAATTTATGGTTTACAAAGCATTTTCCTTACAACAATCCAGTGAGTCGATTCTGTAAGCATTTCACCCCCAATTTACCAAATATTTGGTACCAATTTGGTACACAAAAAGATGTGTACCAAATTGTACATATTCTAAGATCAGGCTGCTGGTATGAGTCAGATCTCTTGCCTCTACTGTACCACATTGTCTTCTATGGAACCTAGGAACTGCAATGTCTAGGCTCTGGTTCTCTTGTGCCTATCCTGGCTTCCAGAGGTTGGGATGATTCTACCAAGTTAAATGTTTGACTCCACTGCCATTTCACCATGAGAGCAAGACAGGTGTCAAACCCTATCCTTTCTTCCTTCTCTTAAATTTTTCCCCCTCTCAAGTCTCATAGTCTCTACCCTAGTCCTGGCTTCTTCACTTCTCACTTAAATACTATAAACGTTCTCATTATATCCAGCCTGTCGCCTCCAGTCCACGCTCAACTTGTTTCCAGACCAGTGTTCCTAAAGAATCACTTTGCACATATGACTCTCCTACTCCAGAATCATTGAGAGGTCCCCATGCCTACAAGATTAACTTTAAAGTCCTTGCCTGATATTAAAATCACAGGGTAATCTAGACATACCCCACATATCTTTACTTCCCCCAGCCCCACAATCTCATCAACAGCTACTTTCAGCATGGTTGGTCTCCTTCTTGTCCTCCTCTCCATTATTTTAGGCTCAGTCCTTCCTCTACATCTTCTAGAAACAGCCTCTTTTCACTTTTAATGGCCTTTATTCTACCTTCTCAAACCCTAGCCATGCATGAGAGCCCAGCTCAAATCCCTAGTACTGCCAGCTCAGACAGAGTCCTCAGAATTCTCTGAACTCCCACAGCCCTGACTCTTCTTCAAAGCCACAAATCTTAGCTTTGATTCCATGCTGACAGCGGGGAAAAAAAAAATAGAAAAGGAAAAGGCCCAATAGGATGTTGAAAGACGTCATTCTGCTGTGTTGTCTGTAGAAAAAGAAATGGCAGATAAACTGAGAAAGGCTAAAGATGAGAATAAAGAATGGGGGAATCTCAAAAGTTGGAAAGTTTTTCTGCTAATGTAGCATGATATGCACTGCAGGAATACAGAACTTAGAGTGAGTAGACCAGGGCTCAATTTCTGTTAATATAACATTAATGAATTGTCAGTTAGTACCTGTGAGATTTTGAATTTTCAGTATGGTACAATAGAAAAAGTAGTGACTTGGAAGTCAGATGAGCCTAATTCTAAATCCTCTGTATGACCTTACTCAAGTAATTAAACCTACCTCAGTCTATAAAATCCATAAAATAAGAAGGTTTAGACTAGAGAGACCCCTTGACATTCCTTCCTATATCTATGATCTTACTGATTTCTCTTGGCCTCTGTTTCTCTTTTATTAAAAAAAACAAACAAACAGATTAGAGTAGGTGATCTCTAAGGTCTCTTTTATCTCAATGCCAGTGACTTTGTTTGTCATTGATGCAATCAATGACTGGATTTCAGGAACTATCCTTTCTATTCAGCCCCAAGCTAGGTGAACACAATAGGAGCTCAGAACTTTTTTAGAACAATATAGACTTTTTTTGGGGGGTGGGGCAGGCAATTAGGGTTAAGTGATTTGCCTAGAGTCACACAGCTAGTAACTGTCAAGTGTCTGGTCTGAGACTATATTTGAACTCAGATCCTCCTGACTCCAGGGACAGTGTTCTATCCACTGTGCCATCTAGCTGCCCCAAAACAATATAGCCTTTTAGAGCTGGAAAGAATCCTCACAGATCATCCAGCCTTATTTTCTCATTTTCCATCATTTACAAGACACTGCAACCAAACTGGATTTGCTTGTCCCCTGTTCTTATCTTGCCCTCATACACCCATCCTTTTTCTCACATAGATCTCCAAGGGTTCTGACACCTACAATGAACTTTTCTTCATCCTAAAACCCCATCTCTTCCCATTGAAACCCCCATGTTTCTTCAAATACTAGCTCAGGAACCTTCTCACTTTGGAAAAGCTACCTCAATCCTTTCCAAAACTGTGCCGCATTACCTTATTGGAAGTGATTTTTTTTTCTTCCTCAAACTTACATGGACCTCTCTTTTGACCCTATTACATTCTCCTTTGTATAGTATTTATCTGGGTACATGTAATATCATTCTGTTAGCTTGTCATTTTTTTTTTGAGGGAAAAACCTCTGACTTTTTAAATTTTTGTGTTCCCAGTGAAAATCATAGGGCCTTGTACACATTCAATTAAGCTGAACAAGCATTTATTAATGCTAAAAAACAAAGCAGCTCCTACAATTGAAGAATCTATATTCTACATAGTAGGTGCTCAATGTTTGTTGAATTAAATACAGAAACTGATGCCCAGAAAGAAGCAACTTGTCCAGGATCATACAGGAATTAGTGGCATAGAAATGATAAGAGCCTATATATCCCAACTCAGTCCATTATTTCTTTTCTTACACTATTTGATTAATTAGTAGCTTGGCCCTGGGCTATTTCTCTGGCCACTGTAGGCAATTAATACATTTGTTGAAATATGAATTGAAGTGAATTGAGCAAAAATGTGGTGGACTTCTAGGACAAGATAATGTATACATTATTGAACATGGTTTCCATAGTAGACTTGAGTTATACTTTGTTTGTTTTGTAACAAAGGAAGGTTGGAAATGATTGATGTAAAGATGAACATCGTCAGTAAAATGTGCCTTTAAAAAAAAAGAAATGCAATTGAGCTCTTGCGATCTCAGGACTCGGGACCAGTTTCTCCATCTTCAACTTGGAGAGAATAATTGTTTTGTAGTTTGAATTCACAGTTATAGTGATCACCGAATGAGAACTGAAATGAAAATGATCTGGAAGGTTTGGGGAAATAGAATGCACTTTGTTCATCCAAGATAACTTTATTGTCTTTTCTTTCTGCTACTACTCTTGGCCCAGAGGGGGGGAAGGGGTCTTGTCTAAGGTCACCTAGTGAGACATGTAATATTGGGAACCAGAAGCCCAGTTTTCCTGCCCAGGACTGGTTTTTTTCAGACAAAAGACTATGACTTCATATGGAGCCTCTTCTAGGTAGCCCCACCATGGACTTTTCTCTGGTTTTAACTACTGTCAGTGAAGGAAACACATGCCCCCTGGTGGCCATAGACTTGGTTGCGGGTTACTTCCATGCCTGGAAAAAAAGAGGAAGAGAGAAGGGAAGAATGGAATAAGAAAAAAAGTGGAAGTGAAGAGGATGGAGAGAAGGGAGAAAGAAAGGTATGGGAGAGCAAGAGGGGTGGAAGGAAGTGGTTTCTTTACAAGACCTATGTTAGGGACATAGCAGTATAAACATTTATTTACAGATGAAGAAGCTAAGGCTAGTAATTTTTCTAATGAGAAAAGGAGGACAATGATAATAGAAATGACAGGTGACAGTTATGGAGCATTTCATGCTTTGCAAAGTGCTTCAAACATGCATGAGATTAACCATTATATCACACATTATGCATCTATATTATTGTGTTTACTTACAATCATCTTATGAGAAAATTAACAAAACTGTGATTATTCCCATTTAACAAAAGAGGAAACAGAGTCAGAGAGATAAAATGAATTGTCACATAGCTGGTATGCACAATCATAGCTCAGGTAAATGTCAATACCAGCATTCAAATTCAGGTCTTCTGACTTCAAATCCACTTTCCATTCTGTCAGACTGAGAATAGCTGCTTAACATCCAAGCCAAACCCATCCACATCCTCCTGGTTGGAGAAGACTCCCCAGACAACTTTACCTCTGTTATTTTTGTTACTTCTGAGAGTCCTACCTTGGGAAGAACATTGAGAAGCGAAAGCAAACTTGTAGAAAGGCAAGCAGGAAGCTAAGGAACTGGTGGTCATGTTATACAAAGATTGATAGATGGAACCAAGGAAAGTTTAGCCAGGAAAAGAGAAGACTTGAGGTGGGTATGATAGCTATTTTAAGGCATCTGGCAGGCTGTCATTCCCAGGTCAGTTAATGCCAGCATAGAGAGAAGCATATACATGAGCTGGTTGAGTGAGGGTTCTGTCAATATCATGGCCAGAATGATGGTGTTCTCAATCATGGAAATCATGTATAAGCAGGATTAGACTTTTTTAACCTGGTCACAAATGGGGAGCAATGGGAAGAATTTTTTTTTAAATTTTTGTTTATTTGTTTGTTTTCAGTCATGTCCAACTATTTCCAACTGTAGTTGGTGGTTTCTTGGCAAAGATAATGGAATGGTTTGCCATTTCCTTCTCCAGCTCAATTTACAAATGAGAAAACTGAGGCAAAGAGAGTTAAGTAACTTTCTCAGGGTCACACAGTATCTTAACCAGATATGAATTCAGGAAGATGAGTCTTCCAATTCCAAGCAATATTAGAGCTATCCAAAAAGGGAATGGATTGTCTTGAAGTTAACATGTTTCCTATGTCTGAAAGTGTTTATGTACAGTCTAAATGATACCTTGTTGGGGATATCATAGAGGACATCCACATTTGGGCATAGTTGAGGTAGAGCTCTATGGATCCTTCCAACTCTATGATTTCGTGTTTGTTTTGTTTTGTTTTGAACAATCGTATCCTGCTCTGCTGCCAGCTTGTCCCTGGGGTCTATTTTCCCTTCATATAGTAATTTCCTTTTTTTTTTTTGCATCCAAACAGATCTCCATGCCTTCTGCCTGTATCCAAATGTTCTGTTGATGAGATTCTCCTGCTCCAAGCTCTTTTGTATTCCTTGCTCCAGACCCTTTAGAATTTACCAACATCCTTTGAACATGTGGCTCCTAGAAGTGAACATGATATTCTAGATATACCAGATTTTCATTAAATGAACTGACATGGAAGTTGTCAAAAAAAAATCTCTTGGCAACTTCTCTCTTTTCCTGGCCTGCTATGATTCTACTGACCACAATCTCTACTCCATTCTTAATACACTTTCTTCTGAGAGAGAAGATGGAGGATTCTCTGGTGGATCTGCTTGGTCTTCACAGTGTAGATGATGGGGTTCATCACAGGAGGTGACAGCAGGTAGACATTGGCCATCGCCACATGGACCAGCGGGGAGGCATGCCGAGCAAAGCGGTGGACCATTGACAGCCCTATCATAGGCACATAGAGAACAAGCACAGCCAGAATATGGGAAAGACAGTTGTTGAAGGCCCGAAGACACTCAGCTGGGGAGGCAGCATGTAAGACACTGAAGAAGATCAGTGCATATGAGAAAACAATGAGGAGAGGGTCAAGCACATAAATGACCATGACCAGCCCAAAGCCATACCAGCTGTTGATTGTAGTGTCAAAACAGACCAGGCGGATCATGTCCTGGTGGAGGCAATAGGAGTGAGTGAGTACGTGGGAGTGACAAAAGGGAAGCTGCTGGAGCAGGAAGAGGCGGGGCAAGACCGCTACAACACAGCGGATAACGATGGCCATCCCAATCCTCCTGACAACTGCATCTGTAAGGATAGAGGCATAGCGGAGAGGGTGGCAGATGGCAACATCGCGATCAAAGGCCATGGCCAGAAGGACTGAAGACTCCATGAAGGAGAAGCCATGGAGGAAGAAAAACTGGACAAAACAGGCTTCCAAGCTGATCTTGCGGGCATTGAACCAGAGGAGGCGCATGACTGTGGGCAGCGTAGTGAGGGTCAGACCTAGGTCAGTTTGTGTCAGCATAGAGAGAAACACGTACATGGGCTGGTGGAGTGAGGACTCTGTCCAAATGACAGCCAAGATGACAGTGTTGCCAATCAAAGAAATCATGTATAAGCAGAAGAAAGGGATGGAGATCCAGATGTGCACTGCCTCAAACCCTGGGACTCCCGTAAGGATGAAATAGAAGGATTCTTCAGTGGTGTTAGCGTTGGCTGACATGACAGTTGAACGTAGCACCGAGGCAGGTGTCTCTCTACAAGCAAATAGACTGTGTCTTATTTTGAAGAGAATTTTTGAGTGCTATAGTTTTTCTGTTTACAAAATAATATACTCTATGTATATAATTACAAGGCTTTGAGAAACATTCACTTATTCCTCTTTCTATCATTCTCCTTGTAATATCTGAGTAACACATCATCACAGAGAACCTGTGGAGAAGGGCAGAGCTGGTAAGCTACATAACATCATTGGGCTCAGGGCATATCAGTCATCTTGCCTCTGCATGGACCCAAGAGCAAGGAGGATCATATAGGAACATAAAAGGCCAAAGAGGACCTTAGACTATGAAAAAGGATGAGACAGGGACACAGAGAAAGTTGTCAGGTAGAGCTGGGGCGATATAGGCATTACATGAGAAAAGGATCATGGAAGGTTTTTGTTGTTTTGTTTTGTTTTTTAATATGAAGATCACAGGATTATTTTTAGAGAAATGAGAAGCAATATAGTGACTGAAGATACATGAGAGAGGATTTATGGGGCAGCTGGAGAGCAGAATAGAGGAAGACTGGTCTCAGTGTTAGAATAGAGCTGAGTTTACGTCCTGCCTCAGATACAGCTGTATGATCTTAGACAAGTCATTTAAACTCTCAGCCTCAGTTTCCTCATCTGTAAAATGAAGATAATAGTACCTAACTCACAGGGTTGTTGGAGGCCTCCGTGAGATAACCTATATAAAGCACTTAGCAAAACTTAAAACACAGTATAATGCAAATTAGCTATTGTGATGAAACATTCTTTCCTCTTGCCAAAGGTGATGTACTACAGAGGTAAAATAGTTCCTACATAGACCCGATTGGTTTGCTTGCTTCTTTCACTTTGCTTTTTGTCATTTTTATTGTTACAATAACATGGGGCTGAGGCTTACTGGGAAATGACTAGAGTTTTGTAGTTGTTGTTTTATATTGTGATTCTCAGATTCTATTTCTTTAGGAAAATTAAAAAAAACAACCTGAACTAAACGGAGAAGGGATTTTTCAGCATCTTGTACAGAAGAGAAGGGGAAAAGCAAGACCCAGGCCAGGACAAGACGGAGAAGAATCACTGGAGCCCAGGAATCTGTGAGTGGGAACACAGGAGGAATAGAGAGGGAATGAGCCTTCCTTGCCTGTCCTTCTACCCACAATATACATCCAACAAAATTTACCTTTAGAAGCTCACACTAATTCTGGGTGATCTTTTGTTCCACATGCTGTAAAGGGATAGATGGTTTGTAGATGGTCGCTGAGGTCCCTTCCAAATCTGAAATTCTGTAAGTTGATGATTTATGCATGACAAAAATGGAGTCAGGGTAGCATAATGTGGTATACTCTGGCTCTGGGGTGAGGGGACCCTCATTTATAGTGTCACTGTGCTACTTCCTAGCTGTGTAACTTTGGGCAAAGAACTTAACCCACTGGGACTCAATTTTCGTATTTACAAAATGAGGGAATTGGATAAAGAAGGCTGCTAAGGTCCCTTCCAACTCTAGATTTGTTAGTCGAGGCTAAAAAAGGCTCCTGAAGTCAACTCCACATCTACCTAGACAAGTAGATCATCCCCTGTACCCCTGGAGTTCTCATATTCTTTCATTCAACCTGAAATACTATCATCAACAGGTAGTATGGGGAAGGCCAGAGTGACTTTCCTTGAGCTCACTCCAAAAATATCCCAAAGGTCAATCCCCTGAGAGCACATCATTCTTTTATTTATTTATTTATTGGTTTGTTTGCTTACTTACTTATTTAATTTTAGGCAATTGGGGTTAAGTGACTTGCCCAGGGTCACACAGCTAGTGAGTGTTATGTGTTTGAGGTCAGATTTGAACTCAGGTCCTCCTGACTCCAGGGCCAGTGCACTACACACTGCACCACCTAGCTGCCCTGAGCACACCATTCTTGTAGTGCCCCAGGCTTACAACCCAGTTGCTATCCTTGACACTTCACCCATTCAATTATCAAATCCTGTCATTTACCTTCATGACATCTCTCCAATATGTCCCTTTTGACACTGCCACCAGCCTGGTTCAGGCCCTCATCACCTCATGCCTGGTCTAATCATTACAATGGTCTGTTTCTTGATCTCTGCCTCCAGTCTCTCTTCATTCCAGTTCATCCTCCACTCAGCAGTCAAACTGATCTTCCCCAAACACATCTGACCATATTACCCCTCTTTTCAATAAGCACAAATGGCTCTTACCTTTATGATTGAATATAAAATCCTCTGTTAGGCTTTTACAGCCTACCATAACCTAGCCCCTTCATACTTTTCCAAGTCATCTTATACCTTACTCCCCTCCACATACTTTGTGATTGAGTGCCATTGGCCTCCTTACTCTTCCTTAAATGCAACACTCCATCTCCTGCTCAGTACTTTCACACTCCCCCACACCTAGAACACTTTCTCTGCTCATTTTCCCTCCTATCTTCCTTGGCTTTCTTCACTTCTTGCTTTCTGCAAGAAGTCTTTCCCACCCCTCTTCAATCTTAATGCCTTCCCTCTGAGATTACCCCCAGTTTACCCTGTAGATATGTTGACGGTGGCTAGCTGTTTGTATGTTGCTCTCTTTCTCCCTCTCCCTGCCATTAAACTGAGAGCTTCTTCACTGTAGGGATTGTTTTTTGTTTGTTTCTTTGTTTTTTGTTGTTGTTTTTTCCCTTTCTTTGTGTCCTCAGCATTTCGTGCAGTGCCTGGAAACCATAGATCCTTAATAAATTTTAGGTGAATGACTGATAGTTAATGAATTGTGTGGATGGCCATCTAAGAATCCATTTAATTTTTTCTAGATGCTAGTTCTGTTTCTGACCTAAGTTACCTCTTAGGAAATTAGTTACTTGTGTAGCCCAGAAGTTCTTAACCTGGAATCTCTGATTTTACATATATATATACATACATATATGTATATATATATACATATATATATATATATATGTATGTATGTATATGTGTATATATATACATATAGATAGATAGATATAGATATATAGATAGATATGTATATGTGTACATATATATGCGTGTGTATATATATGTATATGTATATATATACATATATATGTATAAAATTATTTTTTTTTGGCAAGGCAATCAGCCATTGTGACTTGCCCAGGGTCATCGAGCTATTAAGTGTTAAATGTCAAGTATCTGAGGCCAGATTTGGATTCATATCCTCCTGACTCCAGGGCCAGTGCTGTACCCACTGAACCACCTAGCTACTCTGCTAATTGAATTTCAATATAATTAGTTGCCTTTTAAATGCTCTGTATTTTATTTTATACATTTAAAAATATGCATTCTAGAAGGGGAGCAAAGGTGATACCAGACTGCCAAGGGGCTGATCCATGCACAAAAACAGTCAAGAATCCCTGTTTTAGCCCATACTAAATTTAACCGTTTCAGTAGCAGATGAGATCATAGTTGATAGAACATACCTGTATTCCACATTTCCAACCCCCTCAGAAGTTTGCATATTTATTCTGTCCTCACCAAACCTCCATTTTTACAGAGAAGTTTCTTCAAAGTGTCAGTTTATCCTCACATGCTATTCCCATTCCATGAATCTTCCTAGTTCCCCTACTTGAGGCCTTCTCCAGGTACCTTAGCTGTTAGGTTCTCCTTTTTCTGCCTCAAACAGGCTCTCTCTCACAAAGAACAATAACGGCTGCTGAGAGGAAGAAAGATGGCTTCCCCTTCCCCCAGCATGGTTTGGTCTGACACAATCAAGTGTTCTGTTAGCTTCTGGAGATCATTTTAAGGATAAGGAAGTGATTAGATGGAAAAGGAAAGGAAATAAGCATTTATATAGTGTTTGCTATGTACTAGGCAGTGTGCTAAGTGCAGATAAATTAAAGATATTATCTCAGTTGAAACTGAGGTCAAGTTACTTGCTCAGTTTTATACAACTAATAAGTGTCTGGGGCTGGATTTGATCTCAGACCTTCCTGTCTCCAGGCTCAGCACCCTAGCTACCAGGCCACTAGCTGCCTCTAAAAAAGACCCAAAGATTATTAGAGAAGATGAGTTAGGGCATCTTTCCATAGGGTTAAGGGAAGTCTGCTTTCCAATTCATCTAGTGGTTTCTTTAATCCATGAGCTAATAAGTGTTGCTTGCTTGATTTCATTATTCAGGACAAAGTAATTTTGGCTGCATTGTCCAGTTCGTCCAGGACACAGTGATGGTGATCTGGCCAAAGCATGTGTCAGTAATCAGGGATGGGAGTTTTCAAACCACTGAAAAGTAAAGTGTTGATACTCACTAACAGGTACTCTTGACCTGTGGTCCATGAGCCAATTTCAGAAGGACTGTGGACTTAGGCGGAAAAACAAACAACTTTATTTCAATATGAAGTTTCCTTTGCTGTGCCTTTGTTTTCCTTTTTACTCCCATGTATTTTATTTTATGAATGTAAGGACAATATTTTGAGAAGGGGTCAGAAGCTGGTAGGGCATCACCAAACTGCCAAAGGGGTCCCTAATACCACATAAAAAGAATAAAAGCCCCTGCAGCCTCTTTTCAGCTCCCCTTTCTTCCCACGTCTCTATAAATTTATCTACTTTTTTCCCTACTTACACAGGAAGACCCTTCTCTCCCTCCGCTAAGAATTCCCCTTTTCCTTCAGGTGGAGGGCCTCACCTGTATTCCTATAGGTTCAAGACACCCTGTGCCCGTGGAACTGCCATCTCTTGCAGATCTCTGACCTCCACTGTGTGGTGAGTACAGCTGGGGCTAGTATAAGGTATCCATGTGTCCCTAGAGGGTAGGAGTCCAGGTTTTAAATTTTAAAGATTCAAGAGGGTAGAGGCATAGATATAATCATTAACGGACATAGGATCTCCCTTGAGTCTATTCACTTTAACAACTAGATTATGGTTACTCCCTTCTGCTTGAGAATTCATGGAAACAATTAAATCACGGATGGGCCATGATCTCCCTCCGCTCTTGGAGTACGCGCACACACACACACACACACACACACACACACACAC